AGCCGGAGGTATTGTGGCGTGCGTGTGATGAATCTGCAAAGCAAACGGAGGAGATGAGCTCAGAAAGGAGGAGTGGGTGTTGAATGGACGGCATCGCGGCGTGCTGCCGTGGAGATGAGTGCTGTGCTGCGCCTGGGAGCGCATGGGGAGGGCAGCAGTGCGTGCTCCTCGTGCTCCAGATGTCTGAAATGCTTGTGAGCAGGGGCTGCTTGAGGCTCAGTCCGGCTCCAGGTTGTTTTGAAGGGGAGCCGTTGTGTGAAACAGCGTCTGAGCTCAGAGGCGGGTCATAAAGCAGAGCGGGATTTGTTAAAGGCGAGATCCGTGCCGTAAGGAGTTCAGCTGTGGTTGTGAAAGCAGCCTGTGGCTCTTTCACAAGAATGCAGCTGAACCCATGCATGATACAGTGGTGCAGAGGAGGTTTGGAATCATGGACCCATCGCTGGTTGGGCTGGAAAGGGCTGTGAGCGCCGTGGGTCCAATGCAGCAGGCAGGGATCGGTGCAGGCGGCGCCGGGCAGCAGCGCCCATCCCTCCCCCTCTCACTGCAATGGATTCCTTGCTGAGGGAACCTGCAGGTCGGCCGGGTTGGGTTACATCTCCTAGGATTGGCTGATATAGAAAACAGCCCAACCTGAGCACTGGGGATGGGGCTGCAGTGTTTGAGAGCCCTCTGTGAGCTGTGCGTGATGGCCACGGTGTGACACCAACAGTGTGACACCCAGCGTGACACCCATGGCGTGCCAGGCAGGCTGTGCACACAGGAGGGCTTGGGGGGGCTCTGGTGGGGGGCTGGGTGCTGTCTGCACGTGGAGCATGGCGTGGCTGCTCAGCAATCCAGACCAGAAGGTCAGAGAGGTTCGCATCTCAGCATTTCTCGAGGCAAAAGGAATTAAGGAAAGCCTGCCTTGCTGCAAAGGGAGCCAACATTTCCACGGCAACACGAGGAGCACCCCATGGGAAGGGGTCCTGGAAGGAGGGGCTCAGGAACAGCGATGGGATGGAGGGTGTGGATCCTCACATCCCCACGGTGTGGATTGGTTCCTGGGAATGGTTCCCAGGTGGAAGCTGTGCCTTGCATTCCCACGGGGATGGAGGCTGTTATGGCAACGAAAGCATCACGGCTGTGTTGGCCAGAGCCATCAGTGCTGCACGCCGTGATGGAGGGGGCTGCGGTTGGACGCGTTGCTGGAGGATTCATTGGAGCTGCTGGCTCTGCCCTGGGGGTGCTCTGCTCCGTGCAGTGCAGCTCTGCTCGGGGGTCCCTGAGCCCCACAGAAAGGTCTGGGTGCTGCAGTGCCCACCTGGGGGCTGTGCTCAGCCCATTGCCCAGGGCAGCTTTGAGGCAGAGGTGAACAAAGGAATGTGCTTAGCAGGAGGAATTCGTGTTAACCTTGGAGGTGTGGGGGTGGGCGCATGGAGTCACGGAGCTGTTGGGGTTGGAAAGAGCTCTGGGATCCCCGATGTGACCCCACTGGTGTGGGGTTTCTTGCTGAAGGCGTTGGGGCAGAGGGGCTCAGGGGGAGCTCAGCACTGCGCCACTGGGGAAAGGAGGCTGGAGTGAAGGAGGGGTTGGTCTCCATGCACAGGGAATGGGGATGGGAGGGGAGGGGATGGGCTCAGGGTGCAACGGGGAGGGTTGGAATTGGGAACAACCTGTGCTGCAATCAGCACTGCACAGCTGCCCAGGGCAGCCCCCATCCCTGGGGGTGTTCAGTGAGCACAGGGATGTGGCACTGGGGGAGGTGGGCAGTGGGGCACATCTCAGTGCGTGGGGTTGGGGGGGGTCTCAGAGGTTTTTTCCACCCGAGTGATTCTGAGATTCTTTGTTGGCGTGATTCTTGTATTAAGAGCCCCAGAAGTGGACACGAGTGCAGCGTCATCGGTGGTGGATGAGAGGGATGAAATCTCTTTGCTCCATCTCTCACAGTTGCCCCTGCTCACATTAGAACCGTGAAAGCGTTGGATCCTTAGCGTTGGAAGGGACCTTCACAGCTCAGCTCGTGCAGCTCCCTGCTTTGGACAGGGACACCACAGCTCCATCAGGTTGCCCAGGGCAGGGCCTGATCCAGCCCAGCCTTGAAAGTCACTGTGCAGCCTGCGCGGTGCCTCTCTGCCCTCACCAGGAAAGGCTTTTCCCTTATATCCCACCTGAATCTCCCCTCCTTGAGCTTGAAGCCATTTCCCCTCATTCCATCACCACACACCCTGCTCAGTTGTCCGTCCCCTCCTTCCCTGCAGCTCCCCTTTGGATACCGACAGACTGCTCTCAGGTCCCCTCGCAGCCTTCTCCTCTCCATCTGCACAGCCTCAGCCCATCCCCACAGGAGAGCTGTTCCATCCTTTGGGCCATTTTTCTGGCCCTCCTCTGGGCTGAGCTCCTACAGCTCCGCATCCCTCCTGTGCTGAGCCCTCCCCGTCTGCAGAGCAGGGGTGCAGATGCCCTCCTTTGCTCTGCTGTGCTGCTTTGGATGCAGAGCAGGTGTTGCCCCGTGCAGCTCGGTGCACCCTCAGCTCACTGCCGGTCAGGCTGTGGGGTTCTTTCCCACTCCATCCTTCCCCCTGTCTGGTCCCAATGGGTTCTTCCTTCTAGCTGCAGGATTTTGTGTTTGTCCTCCTAGAAATTCCAGAGCTTCCTGCTGCCCCACCGCTCGCCCTCCCGAGGTCCTTTTGGGGTCCAACTTAGCGCTGCGCTCAGCAGCGTTTCGGGTGTCTTTTGGGGGCACCCCGTTGGAAAAAAACCTCGTATCGTAAAGAAAAGCATCAGTTGGGAACAGAAGTAGCACAGCAGCAACTGTGGAAGCCTGACGGGCTCCACGTCTGCAGGTGGCTGGTAGGATTGCTCAGGTGCGTGGAGCACTGCTGGGCACTGCGGCGCAGAGCAGAGCTGGGCCAGGACGCGGCTGCAGCTCTGGGTGCGCTCTGTGCCCAGGTAGGAGGATGCTGCTGACAATGGCAGCGCCTCCCCCGGGTGCTTTGCAGGCTGACATCTCTGCCAGGCCTGCTGCCGAGCTCCGTCTGGCACGTTGCAGCATGTGTGAGGCACGAAGGGGAGCGGGGCGAGGAGCTGCGCTGTGGGAGAGCTGGGCATGGTTGGGTGAGGGGGCTGCAGTGCAGCAGGGCTGAAGTGGAATGGGGCTGCAATGGGGCCGGGCTGCAGTAGAGCAGGGCTGTAATGCAGCAGGGCTGTAATGGAGCAGGGCTGCAATGGAGCAGGGCTGTAATTCAGTACGGTTGCAGTAGAGCAGGGCTGTAATGCAGCAGGGCTGCAATAGAGCAGGGCTGGAGTGGAGCAGGGCTGCAGTAGAGCAGGGCTGCAGTAGAGCAGGGCTGCAATGGAGCAGGGCTGCAATGGAGCAGGGCTGCAATGGAGCAGGGCTGTAATGCAGCAGGGCTGCAATGGAGCAGGGCTGCAGTAGAGCAGGGCTGTAATGCAGCAGGGCTGCAGTGGAGCAGGGCTGTAATGCAGCAGGGCTGTTATTCGTTAGGGCTACAATGCAGCAGGGCTGCAATGGAGCGGGGCTGCAATGGAGCAGGGCTGCAGTAGAGCAGGGCTGCAGTAGAGCAGGGCTGTAATGCAGCAGGGCTGCAGTGGAGCAGGGCTGTAATTCAGTAGGGCTGCAGTGGAGCAGGGCTGCAATGCAGCAGGGCTGTAATGGAGCAGGACTGTAATGGAGCAGGGCTGCAATGCAGCAGGGCTGCAATAGAGCAGGGCTGCAATAGAGCAGGGCTGCAGTGGAGCAGGGCTGCAGTAGAGCAGGGCTGCAATGGAGCAGGGCTGCAATGGAGCAGGGCTGCAATGGAGCAGGGCTGTAATGGAGCAGGGCTGCAGTAGAGCAGGGCTGCAATGGAGCAGGGCTGCAATGGAGCAGGGCTGCAATGGAGCAGGGCTGCAGTAGAGCAGGGCTGCAGTGGAGCAGGGCTGTAATTCAGTAGGGTTGCAGTAGAGCAGGGCTGCAATGCAGCAGGGCTGCAGTAGAGCAGGGCTGCAGTAGAGCAGGGCTGTAATTCAGTAGGGCTGCAGTGGAGCCGGGCTGCAGTGGAGCAGGGCTGCAATGGTGCAGGGCTGCCTTCTGTTGGCACTACACAGGGCTGGAGAGTGGCCGGCTTGGCTGGAATCGAATCATAGAAGCACAGAATGGTTTGGGTTGGAAGGAACCTTTAAGATCACCCAGTTCCAACCCCCTGCTACAGGCAGGGACACTTCCCACCAGACCAGGTTGCTCACAGCCCCATCCAGCCTGGCTTTGAACGCCTCCCCACGTCCCTCACGGCATCGCATTAAGATTTATTGAATGCTTCCAGGGTCAGTGACTCCACCACGTCCCTGGGCAGCCCCTTTGCGCCCCATCCCCTCAATTGGCAATTATGTTGGTGACGTCCAAGCTCAGTCTCCCTGACTCGACTTGAGACCGTTATCTTTAGTCCTGTTACTGTGTGGGAGAAGAGGTTGACCACTTCCTCACAGAATCAATCACAGAATGGCCAGGGTTGGAAGGGACCTCAAGGATCATGAATCTCCAACCCCCCTGCCACGTGCAGGGCCACCAACCTCCACGTTTAATGCTAAATCCTCCCTTCAGCTTGTTGTGCAGAGCGATGAGGTCCCCCCTGTTCCTCTTCTGCAGACTAAATAATCCCCGTCCCCTCAGCTGCGACTCGCAAGGCTCACAATCCAGACCAGCCAGAGCTTAATTGCCTTTCTCTGAACGCTCTCCAGGGCCTCACTGTCTTGTGGTGATGCGCCCAAAACTGAGCTCAGTACTCAAGGTGTGACCTCCAGGTGCTGAGGACGGAGAGATGATCCTTTCCTTGCTCCTGTTGGCAGCGCCGCTTCCAGTACAGCCTGGGCTGCCGAGGGCCTTCTGGGCCACCTGGAGTCACTGCCAGCTCATCTTCTGCTACGACACCAACGTTGGGTGGCACGGAACATTCAGCCGCCCTGGTTGTGTCCCCTCCATTGTGCCTCCCTCACTGGCAGCGCTGTCTGCTGGGCTGAGAGCGATGGGGGATGACTTGAGGGTCTGTGGTGGTGGGTGCCCCATCCCTGGAGCTGCCCGAGGCCGTGGGGAGGTGCTGTGCGGTGCGATGCGGTGGGGCTGGATGGTCTTCAAGGCCTTCCCATGACCCAACCGTTCTGGGAATGTGAGCAAGGGGCCAAACTGCAAATGTTTGCGTCGAGCCAAGGGAAGGCAGAGCGGGAAGCCGCCTCCAAACGAATGCGGGGCTGGGGGGGAGGAAGGGGATCTGGTTCCCCCACGCCGTCGTGGGTGCTGTGCTCTGAGCCCCCCTGGGAGCCCCCCCTGACCTCTCTGTCGTTCCTGTTTTCCAGGTGAAGACGAGAAACTTGCTGCTTCTTTGCTGGATGGGAAGTTTCCGCGGAGCACATCGATGCAAGACACCGTTAGGGAAGGGCACGGGATCCCACCGCCCCCCCAGACGGCCCCACCCCCGCCTCCTTCTCCATACTACTTCGACACGGGCCCCCCTCCATCCTTCTCTCCACCTCCGCCCCCAGGGAGAGCTTACGACACCATCAGGTCGAGCTTTAAGCCCAGCCTGGAGGCGAAGCTCCACGGGCTGCCGCAGGTCATCAGCGCGGCCGAGATGTACGACCAGGCGAGGACGTCCATCCCCTATCCCGAAAGGCAGAAGAGGGCCCGATCCATGATAATCCTGCAGGATTCCTCCCATCTCCCCGTGGAGCCGACGGAGATCCCCCGGCCCGGCCCGTCCGCAACCCCTCCGGAGAAGCTGAAAAGGAAGGGGAGGGTGATCGACAACCCCTACGCCAACATGGGGCAGTTCAACGTCAGCCTGTTCGCTCCCACCAAGCCGCAGAGGAAGAAGAGCCCTCTGGTCAAGCAGCTGCAGGTGGAGGACGCGCAGGAGAGGGCGGCCCTGTCCATCACGGGGGGCTTCACCAGGGAGCCCTCGCCCACCCGCCGGAGCCATCGCCTGAGCGGCGTGGACTACCAGCACCACGCCGGCCTCGCGCAGGTCGAAGCCACGAGCATCCCCTTCGCCACTGCCATCGCTGGGGTCATGAAGGACAGAGACCGACGTCTGGACGAGAAGCGCAAATCCACTGTCTTCCTCTCGGTCGGGGCCATCGAAGGCACCCCCCCCAGCAGCGACATGCCATCCCTGCAGCAGTCCAGGTCTATCGATGAGCGGTTGTTAGGAAGCCGAGATGTACTACTGCCTTCCCCCGTCTCAGCTTTAAAGCCATTAATTAGCAGCTCATCCTCTACGTTCATCCACCCCCTGACGGGAAAGCCCCTGGATCCCAACTCGCCACTGGCGCTTGCGCTGGCCGCAAGGGAGAGGGCCCTCTCCACCCAAGTCCCATCCCGGTCGCCCACCCCGATCCACAGCCCGGACTCCGACAGAGCGGCGCCGCTGTTCGTGGACATCCAAACCAAAGAACCGGAGAGGGTGGAGCTGGAGAGCCTGGTGTCCCCCGCCTATTCGCCCGGAGCGAAAGGGGCCGTGGCGGCCGAGGCGGCGGCGCTGACCCCCGCCAAGAGCCCGTGGGGAACCCCGTCCACGCTGAGGAAAGAAGCCGAGGCGAGGGTGGAAGCGCCCGGCAAGGAGGAGAAGAAGCCGGAAGACAAGAAGTCCATGATCATCAGCATCGTGGACACGTCGCAGCAGAAGACCGCCGGCCTGATCATGGTTCACGCCACAAGTAACGGCCAAGACGAGATCGGACTTGAGCTGAAGGAGGACAAGCCGGCGGTGCCCGAAGCGTGCGCGGAGCCGGCGGAGCCGCCCAAAGCGGAGCCGCAGCCCAGCCCTGCGGGGAAGGGGCCGGGCAGCCCCGCCGCCGCCGCCGCCGCCGACAAGACGCTGGGGCAGGGCAGCTCGGAGGAGGAGGTGGAGCCCTACACCGTGACGCTGCCGCCGGCGCAGCTGTCCTCGAGCGACGAAGAGACCAGGGAGGAGCTGGCCAAGATCGGGTTGGTGCCTCCGCCCGACGAGTTCGCCAACGGGGTCCTGGTCACCACCCCCGGCACCCCCGTCAGCCACCTGGCGGCGCCCAGCACGCCATCCGCACCAGCGGCAGCAGGAGCTCCTCCGACCGCGGGCGGAACACCCTCAGGGAAGCCCCCCGACGCCCCAGCGGCCCCGGAGTCGGCGGCCGACTCGGGCGTGGAAGAGGTGGACACGAGGAGTTCGAGCGACCACCACCTGGAGACCACGAGCACCATCTCCACGGTCTCCAGCATGTCGACGCTGTCCTCGGAGAGCGGGGAGCCCACTGACACATACACTTCCTTTGCGGACGGACAAACTTTTATACTCGAGAAGCCACCAGTGCCTCCAAAGCCAAAACTCAAGTCCCAGCTCAGCAAGGGGCCAGTTACTTTCAGGGACCCACTTTTGAAGCAGTCTTCGGACAGCGAGCTCATCTCCCAGCAACATGCGGCCACGCTGGCGTCCGCCAGCATTGGCCGGCCACGCTACCTCTTTCAGAGAAGGTCCAAGCTATGGGGGGACCCCATGGAGAGCCGGCCGATCCACGGGGCTGACGACGACAAGCCAACTGTGATCAGCGAGCTGAGCTCCCGCCTGCAGCAGCTGAACAAGGACACGCGGTCGCTGGGGGAAGAGCCGGCCGGCTCCGCGCTGGATCCCGGCAAGAAGTCTCCGGTGGTCGCGGCACGGTAAGAGGCCGCGTGGCGCCCGGGGCTGCGCGGCGCCGTGGGCCGGGTGGGGGTCAGGGCGTCCCGGAGGCGTCCGTCCTGCTTGGACGGGGAGCAGCGCGGCCGTCCTCCCCCGGGGCTGCGCCTGCTGCCCGCTGCTCCGCGCTCGGCTCTCGCGTCGGCCGCCCCTCCTCTGTCTGCTCTCGTGAAGCCGCCGTGTTCTGTCGTGGGTTTCCTTTCCAAATGTTTTCTCCCGAGCCGTAAACAGCGACGTCTGTTTCCCCGGTGCTTTTCATCTGGAAGCGCTCTGAGCGTCGTCGGGCTGCGGGGCGGCGCTGCCGGTCGTGGGGCACGGCAGCGGCGCCGGCTGCGCGGCGCTGAGGGTCAGGGTTCCATTTCCCACATGGGTTTGTGCTCAGGCTGACGGAACCCAGAGCTGTAGGGCTGGAAGGGACCCCTGCAGCTCCCCCCCCCCGCCTCCCCAGCAGCCCCTCCAGCAGCTGCGCACGGAGCTTCCAGGTGGGTTTGGCTCCCCGCAGAGATGGAGTCTCCCCCACCTTTGTGGGCAGCCGTGCCGGGGCTCTGCCCCCCCCCGCAGCACAAAGTTCTCCCTCATGCCCACAGGAGCTCCCCGCTTCCCCACAGATCTACGTGTAAAACTCAGCAAAACCAAAAAACTCCCGATGGCAACTGGAGATGTGAGAGCAAAGCCTCTGAAGGCTCCGAGATGCTCAGCGAGCGCCCCGCTCTGGCAGCCGCGCTGCGTCCACCCCGCTGCCCTTCAGTGAGCAGCTCCCCGCCCCCCCCCCCCCATGGTGCCCCCCCTGCCATGCCCACACCGTAGGGTCAGCCAGGAGCTGGGAAGGGCGAGCTGAAGGGAGCGTTGATCCGAGGAGCTGCGCTCGGTGCAGCGGCGGCTCTCCAAGCCGTGCCGTGCGCTCACAGCTGGAGGCGTTTTGGAACGGAGCGGGGGGGTCACCGTGCCCTGCAGCCCCCAGGAGCGGCCCCCGCCGCCCCTCTGACCCACTTCTGGCGGGCACCAGCCCCGTGGTTGCCATCACAAAGTGGAAGGAAACCCTCTGGATCTTGCCGTGCTTTCGCTCTGATGGGTTCGGCCCCACGTCGGCCGCTCCCTGCAGAGCGGTGGCTCCTCGCTGTGCTGCTCAGCTGGGACCCCAGGGTCCTGTGCTGGGTCAGCTGCATCCGAGGGCCGTCTGGAGCAAGGTGTGCACTGCTCCAGGTCTGGAACATCTGCAGCAACGCTGGGCAGGGGGGGCTCCTGATCTTCTGCTGGTGACCGGGCACGGTGTCTTTGTAGCCCACCTGCAGGATTTGGGCCCCTTGCTGGGGGCAGTGTGAGGCACAGCCAACCCCCCAACCCCACGCCTGCTGGTGCTGGGGGTGCTGGGGCGTCCATCTCCCCCCTTTTTGGGTCTCCTGGAGCAATCAGTGAAAAGCACCCACGGCTCCCACCTGCAAACCCTGCCGTCCCACACTCACCTCCCCCCCCCCCCGCCTTCCCGTGTCCCACATCACTGCGTCCCGGTGCCGATCCCCCATCCCCATAGATGTGCGAATTCCCCCATTCCTGGGGACTTCTGCCCCATCCCTGCCCCTCCTTCATGCCCACGGGTCACCACCCGCACTGCAGCACTGCATCCCCACCCCCGTCTCCCTTAACAACCCCCCCAAAGCTCTGCCCTGGCCGTGGATGGCTGCAGTGACCCCCTGTGCTGAGACTCTGTCCTCCTCCTCCTCCTCCCCAGCTGCAGGGAATGCCTTCCCCCATCCGTTCCCCACCCTGAGCACTCCGTGTTCTGTGCCCCCATGGGTTGCAGTGCTCCTCACCCCCTCCAGGAGCCTCACAGCTCTGACATTATTTTGCTCTCGGTTGAAATTCTTGCAACGCTCCCCAGGAAATCCACTGCAAACGGAGCACGCCGTGACGTCGGCCGCTCCGCCTCGGTGTGAGAATTCCTCCCTTCTATGAAACTGCTGTAAATTCGGGAGGTGATGCGAAGAGCAGTCAGGGTAAATGTAGGTGACCCATTGCATGGCACGTGTTCCAGTCCCTGGACCTGTCCTGAGATCAACGGCATCACCCAGCACCGCCACAGCGACCGCCCCGCGGGCTGCAGTGCTGCAATGCAGTGGGACCTGCAGCCCTGAGCCCCACAGGAGCTGTGGGATGGGCACAAGGAGAGCACAGTGCTGCTTGCAGCCAGGGCCTGTGCTGGAGCTCCTGCGAATGTGGAAGGCAACGGGGCCGTGCCCTTGCCTTGGGCTGCAGCTTCTCCGTCGTGCTCATATTTTGCACTGCTCCAGAAGGAGCCATGAGTTGAACTGCAGCTCCTACCTGCAGCCAGCACTGTTCTGGAGCCAGCACACTTAATGCAGCCAGCACCATTCTGGAGCCAGCACCGTTCTGGACCCAGCACTGTTCTGGACCCAGCACCATTCTGGACCCAGCACTGTTCTGGACCCAGCACCATTCTGTAGCCAGCCTGTGTCCTGCAGGGCTCAGGGCTGAGCAGGACCCCTGGCAGAAGCCCCCCATGAGCTGCCATCACAGTCGGTGCCTCCCCAGGCTCCGAAGCGCCGCTGCAGGCAGGAGGAGCGGGGCGGTCGCTGTGCACTCGTGGGGTTTGTGGCTGGAGTTTGTTTTGAATTGCGTTACATCCTGAATTTACAGCAGTTGCATCCAAGAGCGAGGGGCGCTGCTGCGCTGCAGTGTGCACGGATGCGTTCCCGCAGGGGGGCGCCTCCAGGAGCAGAGGCCTGAAGCGCTTTCTCCATCTCTCTAACTCTGTGTCTCCTCCCAAGGCGGTCTGTCCCAGGAGGACCTTTGACGAGAGGCACTGGAAAAGAGGCCGAGGAATACTGAGAATGAGAACCTAAGCTCAGAGTTGAGGCATTCAATAGAGGGAACGTTTGTCCCGCCCTCCCCAGCCCTCCGTCCCCCCGTGCAGATGGGCCGAGCCTGCCCAGGAGGCCCCGCTGCAGCCGTGCCCACGCTTTGCTCTCTCCCGTGGCCGTCAGGGTTGCCCACGGGGCCCCGCTGTGGCGTGGGACCTTGGGATGTGACCCCAGAGCTGGGAACACGCCGACCTCGCTGCCCTCTGACCGCTGTGTGTGTGGGGGGGGGGGGGGGCCCGAAACCCACAGCAGCGCGAGGGTCGGGCGTGAAGAGCCGCTGAGCCCCACGCGGTTCAGGAGCCACCCGCAGCTGTGCCATCCATTACCACAATAAAGCTGTCGTGAACCAACAGAGGTGTAACGTTTCTGATTAGCGCTCAGGGCGGCGCGGCCAGGAGCTGCGCGGAGCTCAAGTCGTGGCTCCCCAGGTTTCCAAGGCAGCTCTGCGTGGCTCGGAGGCGTTGCTCTTCAGGGTCCCATTCTGCTCCCAGCCGTGGCCGCCCGGCCCTGCAGAGCTGTGCTGCCCCCATGGGGCCGCAGGGCTGCGTGTGAGCTGTGCTGCCTGGAGCCAGGAGCGCAGCGAGTGCCAACACGGGGACCCGGAATCACGGGGTGGCACAAAGCTCATCTGATGGCAGCCCCCAGCAGCTCCGGGTTGGGTCAGCACAGCTCTGGCTCTGTGAGGGTTGCGAGGCTTTTTGTTTTGCTCCTTTGCATCTTTGCGTTTCAGCAGCGGCCAAGCAGATGGAGAAGCAGAGTTTCGGCTGCAAAAAACCGAGTTGTTCAGGTGCTGTTTCCGGAGAGCCACGACTGCTTTGTGTCTGTACAGATGGGGAAGGGAGGAGAGAAATGAGCCTTTAGGCATCTAGCTGCCAGGGCGAAGCCACCTCTTTCTGTGTAACCCATCGGTTACATGTGGTGCAGTGAAACGGTGTGGGATGGATTCGTGCTTGTCCAGAGTGGGATTCAGGAGGAGATGAGCAGCACTGGTGGCCCAAAGGGGGACAAATGAGAGGCACTCAGTGATGGCAGCCCCACAGAGCAGGGATGCGCACCCCGGTGCAGGAGAAGAGCTGTGAGGGGGGCTCCTTCTGGACAGAAGACCTCCAGCCCAGCTCTGTCATCAGCTGCAAAACCGTCTGAGAGAAAGCAGCCGGAGGGTGAGATGCTCCGGTGTGGAAAAGGATGAAGGGAGAGAGCTGGAAGTGCGTGTTGGAGTCCTCTGCCGCTTCGGGCTCAGTGCTTGAGCACAGCAAGTCACCGCAGCATGGCACGGCACAGCATGGCACAGCATGGCACAGCACAGCACGGCACAGCACGGCATGGCATGGCACAGCATGGCATGGCACAGAATGGCACGGCATGGCACAGCATGGCACAGCACAGCATGGCACGGCACAGCACAGCACAGCATGGCACGGCACAGCATGGCATGGTACAGCACGGCACAGCATGGCACGGCACAACATGGCACGGCATGGCACAGCATGGCATGGCATGGTACAGCATGGCACGGCATGGCACAGCACAGCATGGCATGGCACGGCATGGCACAGCATGGCATGGCATGGTACAGCATGGCACGGCATGGCACAGCACGGCATGGCACGGCACAGCATGGCACGGCACAGCATGGCACAGCACGGCATGGCACAGCACGGCATGGCACAGCATGGCACAGCATGGTACAGCATGGCACGGCACAGCATGGCATGGCACAGAACGGCACAGCATGGCATGGCACAGCATGGCACAGCATGGCACAGCAGGGCATGACACAACATGC